CAGAGTCCCAGACTAAGCTCACTGCTTGTTTCTCTTGAAGCAGTCACATCATCTGCCTAGGAGTCTTAACTTCTCCAGGTTAAAACTGTCTGTCTCTCCATCTGCCTGTCTCCTTCCCACACTATCTTCTTGGCATAATGCCTTTTGGAAAATGAAACATGCTTCCAGAGAAAAACAGAATGTTGAAAGGGAATTATATTCATTTATACATCATTGGAAGTGCTAGGAAAAAGAAGTAACCTTTGGAAGCTTAAATATAATAAAAATAAAAAATGTCAGTCTAGTTTTTAAAATGAAAGTGCTCAGTATTGGTGGGGCCATGGTATGAAAGAATTGCCAAATGTGGTAGGAGTGCAGTTTGTTAAGTCTTTTTGAAAAGTTACATGACAAGATGTATCAAGACCCTTAAAAGAAGCTTCTAGCCTTTGACCCACTAACTTGACTTCCAGGAATTTCTGCTAAGAAAACAACTGGTGACACAGACAGTGAACCTCCACAAGGGTGTGATTGCAGCACTATTTATAATAGTGATCTGAATGTACAGAGTAAAAAAAAAAAAAAGGTTATATAAGCCATGCAACAGAATACCCTGGAGCCATTTAAAAATATATCTAGGACTAGATAATGACATTGGAAATCTTTATTAAGTGATTTTTTTAACAAACACAGGCGATTAATTATATAGGCAGCATTATGTGCCCCCCCAAAATAATTAGTTGTATCCTCCTAAGAAATTAACCATGATGATCAGTGATATCAATTATGTATAACTGTATTACTTTTCTTCTTGATTTTTGGTATTTCTCAATTCTCTGCAAAGCTACTGTTCAGAACAATCAACTTTCTACTTAATGGTCAGCTTACCTCTCTGGCAAGAGAACCTTTCCTCTTGTCCCAGCTCCAAGACCATGGGTGGTGTGAAGGCTGGAGAAGGTCTGTGCATCCACGCTCACACTGGTTGGAAGCCTGCCTGAGCAGTGCTGTGCACAGCACAACAGGCATGCCCTGGCCGGTGCATCAGACATTCCATCATTCAAGTGACTCACCACAGAAGGGTGTCAAGCTGATGATATTGCTACACATTGTACTTGAACTATCAGCCACAAGCCCAAGTGCTGCCAACCTTTTAAGAGCCTTATCTTCCTGAACCGTTATTCTTTCACTGTCCTGTGAGTGTCAAAAGAACTGACTAGGACTGTCTGATTCCTTTTGAGGACGCTGAGGTCCAGCAAACTCCAGCTGCTGCAAGCCTTCCAATTGGACACAGACCAGATCAGCAAATGTTCCTTCTAAGCTAAAGTCGAAGCTCCTGTTGTTGCTATAGTTGGGCTTTGATGAGGGGCTTGGCCAAGAATATTTAGGGTGAAAATGTGCTGGGGCAGTCAGCGTAGAAATGCCCAGCTGGACCAAACAAAGCTTTTTTTTGCAGGTCATTTAACTGTAGTTAAAAGATATTTCCTCCTATCCTAACCTCAGTTGTTTGTTTCCTTTGACTCATTAATGGAAAAAGAGGTTTAGAATTCTTTATTGATGGTTTTAGAGCCAAGAATGATATTTACCAGGCTGTTGTTATTGTTGTTATTTTCCTATTATTTGCCTTAGAGTTTTTTGTTTTTGTTTTTTTGTTTTTAGATGGTAGTATAAAGTAACTTTATACTGTCACCAGACTCTGCTGGGGGAAGAACTTAAGCTTGTATAATGATGGGCCATTATTACCTTCCCCTTATATGTTTTATCTTACATCTTTTTATCTACCCTTTGCATCTTTTATCTTAGATATTGTATGAATTGTGTCAAAACGAAAACACAATGTTCTCTGGGTGTTTCTCAGAGGATCATCTCTAGGTATACCGGCCTCCTGTTGCTATACTCATCATTACAATACATAAAAATATGCAGTAGTATTGTTGGTAGTGACATTTATGACACATCTCTGAAGTACAAATGAACAAAAGGCATACTTTTTTAATAGTTGAAAATTTCATAGAAGTACTGTAAAATGTGCATTTTATTTTTTATACTAACTCAAATGTAAGTAATAAATTTTAAATTGTGGTCATTTCATAGCCAATAAATGTCACTGCAAAAATGAACAAAAGAAATTCTGTTGTTAAAAATTGTACTTGAAACTAAGACAGTTGACATGGGGATTGAAGATAATTTCCTACAACAGTTTTGGATACCTTGAGTTCCAGCCATATCCCCGGATAACTTCAGCCCTGCAATACCAGCCAAGAACCTCTTAGGTATCTAAGGATGTAAAAAATAAAACATTCAGAATTCATCTTGTGTTCTTAGAATAGGTTCCTGAGTATACTATTAGCCAAAAGCATAAGTCTTGGTATAAATGGAATAGGAAGCTGGAGATATTTTTCCTATGTATGAAAGTTATTTTTTTTTAGTTATACACACACACACACACACACACACACACACACACACACGTGAACAAAAGAGATGTGTACATTTATTTATTTTTTTGCGGGGGGGGGGGTCTGGTTGTGGGCATGAACTCTGGGCCTGAGCGCTGTCCCTCAGCTCTTCAGCTCAAGGCTAGCACTCTACCACTTGAGCCACAGCATCACTTTTGGCTTTTTTCTTTTTGCTTATGTGGTGCTGAGGAATCGAACCCAGGGCCTCATGCATACAAGGCAAGTGCTCTACCTCTGAGCCACCTTCCCAGCCCTGAAAGCTATTTTTTTAACTATTGCAAGGATACTTTAATTGTCCTGTGGTACTGCTGACCAAAGAAACAGATTTAGTCCAATCCTCTGGACTTGGACTGTTCCCGTGAACCTCCAAATTACTACTGATACTTCTCAGCTTCCTGGGCTTGGCTGCAGTTTGGAACTGCAGCCTTGGAGCTCAGGCCTTGATTGTGGAAGTGGAAGGAGGACAGAGAAAGCGAGATGTCTCTCTCTTATTAGCACAGAACTAAGGAAGACTGCATCATGGAAGTAAAGTGACACTGCTCCTTGGACTCAAGGAAGCATCATGTGTGAGCAATTATTAAAATCATAATAGAGTAACACCCCTCAGTTATTGAGTTTCACTATCTTCTATTACACTTCAAAAAAATCTGCCCTGTCTTGCCAAGTACATTTTAAGCTCTTTGAAGTCAGGGACTATAACAGATTTCTACTTATTGTCTTACTCATTCTAGGTACTCAATGACAAGTCTTGCAGATTGAGAAAAATGTTTTAAAAATGGATCATACTCTTGGAATTTAATTTTTCTCTTCATATATGTATGAATTCCATCTGCTATTTGAATCTATCAGACAGAGCACTGGAGGCAGGGTCATAGAGTCTGTTGGAATTTACAACGTGTTGAGTCTTATTGAGTCTGGCTCTTACCATATTCCCATGCTCCCTTGCAAATGTGGTAGACATCTAAAAGAAACTTGTAAATCAGCAGTTGGGAAGATTGCTAATGCTATGGCTATCTCTGTTAAGAAGCATGGTAGACCCTAGAAGAACAGAACAAGACCTGAAGGAAGACCAAAAACAATGTCTTGGCACCAAGAGCCCAGGCTTGGGCTCAACAAAATTGGGATTTGAACCCCAGCTCTTAAGTTTTTGTGCTAGGTATTTTTAAGCAGGCCATATAGCCCAAGTTTTTTATCTATTAAATGGAAAATTTAATAGTGCCTTGTGTGGGCTTGTTGAGTGGGTTGAAATTCATTAATTTTACTTACTAGTAATCTGTCAAATACAAACAGGCACTTATGTAGGCATTGAAGATACAACAAGGAGCAAAAAGGAAAAAAATCCCCACCCTCATGGAATTTATAGTCTAGAAATATAACACATGCAATAGCATCTAATAAATGATTAATCAGATTCATCTGATGATAGCTGATGAACCTCAGACAGTAGGCTTTTACTGCGTGCTTCTATAAGTGTTCATTATTAGTGTAATTTTAGGGAAGAACCATTAAGTAGAACATTTATGTATTTTTGCTAAATTCCACTCGGCTTTGAAGTCTTTTCCCTTTGGGCTGGGTTTCTGTCGTTTTTACCTCCATTAAGTGTTTACTGGAAGCAGTTCAGCAATCAGATAAGATTCAGGGGCTGTGAGTGAGTTCTGGATTTCCATGTCTTAACCATCAGTGTTTGCATTATCTGTGATTGTATATGATTTCATGAGCTGCACAGGTATTTGTGAAATTTGTGGAATAAGCCAAAAGGCTAGCCCAACCAATTAAAATCCACAAACCATATTTTAGTGAGCAACTTCAACCTTTAATCCCCAAACTTTTGGTCAAACCCATTCAGCAAAGAAAAGGTGGACACGTTTTTGGTTTATTCTTTTTTTTTATCAATTGCCTTCCTAGTTTTGAACATCATAAAACCCCAAATGCATGAAGGAGAAAGGGTGGAATTGGATATCAAACCTCTAGAGAACAGAGCACTGTGGTTTCATGTTGCTCCTCAGAGGTGTGTGTCCATACTGCCTCCATCCCCCTGTCATACTTCTAATGAAGTTTTTCAGAACACCAATGGCACACTGCCCATTTCATTACCATTGTAAACAGGAAATTATTTTCTCCCTGAACAGCACTTGTGGCCCAGAAAAATGGCCATTTCTTCTGAGACATAACTTTAAAGACACAAGAGTGAGGCTGAAAGCTGGTTATGCATGAGCCCTGCGTGAAAACAAGGCTTGGTGCTAGGACATAGGTATAGGAACTCATGTGCATGGATTCAGGACATTGTTCACTGATGGCCAACAGTCTAATGGACATGAGTGAAGAAGTGCCTATCACCTAAAAAGCAGCTGTTCCACAGGACAGAGACATGTGCTCTGAGGATCTGCAGCGCAGGCATTCCTGGGAGCACGTAGAGGTATGGTCTGGGGAACTGTGATATGGCACTGGCTACCTATCTCCGGATTCAGGGCTCCTGTGTTCTGCTCCAGCACCCATCATTTGGCCTCCTGTGCTCCCATTGTGGTTTCCCTGTGTGCTGACAAGTTTTCTGGTTGTTATGTCTTGCAGCCCCCCGAATCCAAGCCCAACTTCACCCCTCTCGCCTTCTTGGCCCATGTTCTCGGCACCATCCAGCCCTATGCCCACCTCATCCACGTCCAGCGACTCATCCCCCATCAGGTCTGTTGCAGGGTTTGTTTGGTTTTCTGTTGCTGCCGTTGTTCTCTCATTGGCTTGGTCCTCTCTTCATGCAGTGTTCAGCCTCCTCGTCAACTTTGTTCCCTGCCATCCAAACCTGCACTTGCTTTTTGACAGGCCAGAAGAAGCGGTTCATGACAACTTCAGGTAAAATCATGGATGATGACCAATCTGTTCCTGTCAATCCACAGATGGTCGGGGACAACAGGGGTCTCCTCTGCTCACCTATGGTTCTATCCTCAAAGACCAAAGCCAGGAGGAACCGTTTGCATGCCCTTGCATGGCATTTTTTACTCCCTTTCCAATCTTAATCCAAGTTTCTGAATTCATCACTGGTGCCTGGAATGTGGAAACAGGGTACCTCCTGAATAAAGCTCCTATTTTATGCCTCTCTGAGCTATCTGGGCTCTTTAAGCTTTGGTATAAAATAGAACAGTGTTGAGACATGGGCCAGCCCTTTCTTCTCTCATTTTTGTCAGGTAGCATCAGGAAATGTTTAATTAATTTTGGGCCACCATTCCTGACCATTGACACATAATTACTGAGCTCAGACCAGATATACTGGGTGAGAGACTCAACTAGCAAAATAAATGATTGAGAGCTGAAGCAATTTCTTTTTAAATTGCTCATGGTGAAGCCTCCTTTGCCTCCTTAAACTCCAGGCATCATCTGGGATCTCAGCCTTCTGTTGGCTGTGGGTTATGAATGCTGAGTACTTGTGGGAATAGGCATCACCTCTTTTTAAGGGTGAGAGGCCAAACCAGTTCCCCTCCCCAAGGGCCATCTGCAGCTTTCCCTGTCTTGATGATCACCACAGTGAAGTGACACACTTTGCTGTGGAGCTTTTTGTAGAAAAGAATCTCTTCAAATTCAGAAAAAAAAAATAATGAATAACAATCCCACAGCATTCCTCTCCTGTAGAGGCTCCAAGCATGAGTCCCTCCCAAACTTAAGTCTTCTTTCAGAGAACCAAAATGTAGAGCCTAATTATAACCATCATAACATTTGGGGTTTTGGCAAGATTTCCTCATCCATCTTTTTCTCCTAAGGGGTGGGTCTAGCAGAGAGGCTTAAATAATTTATCAAGCTGATTCGCACTTTTTAAAAAAGAAAATCCCTCGCTATTTATATATACAGATACATACATAACTTTATTCCCCTCCAGGCATTTCACATGTATCATTTCATTCTATCCTCCTGGGACAATGAGAAAAGAAATGGCCGGAACCCTATTGTAAAAAAGAAAAAATAAGGTACAGAGAGATGACTGGACAGTCCCTTGACTTAAATGTAAGCCACTATAGAATTCAGGAGTTCTCCTCCTCTGCCTAGCACTTGTTCTCCAAATACATGAGGACCTCAACTTTAAGTTGCAAGCAGCTTCCAGCCCCAAAGTCTAGCTCTTTTTCCAAGTTAGTTGTAACTTTCCATTTAGCTTTGTCCTGGATGATGGGAAAGATAAAATTTTGTTATATATTCTTTTCTTCTCCCATAAATAAGGTAAAGATTCAGATCCTGTTCTCCTGATCTTTGCCACCTTCTGGGGACTTTGGAGATGTTTACTTTCTGAAGTCACTCATTGTCCCTTATGGCCCTGGACATAGAAAGTATTACAATGACCAAAGATAGTCACCAAGTTTGAATAAACAAACTTGGGCATTGGGAAAATGAAGCTTGTTCATTTTCACCAAAAAGGAGTAAGATCTTAATCTTCAAACATTTGCTCCTTGAACAAAAGAGGTTAAGAGACCTGGGACAATAAAACAGTTCATGGGAGTGCGAGGAACCTCTCTACTGTCTACTTTGAATATATTTACTTTCTTTGTGTTATGGTCCTATTGCTTCTCAGGCATCTATCTCTCCACTTCCTTCTATCTCCCAAAATATTCCTTTTTTTCCCCTCTCCTTCTTCCTCCACCTCAAGTATTTCTTTCTATCTCCCAATTGACAGAGGGGTCATGGTTACTCAGTACTATCCCCTCTGGCTATTGCTAGAATAGCACCATTTCTTGATGCTGTTCTACAGCTCTTCAGGAAGCTGCCATTTTGAAATAGACAAGGCAAAAGTAAGGCTGGGAATTGGATGTCACTGAAGTATGTGTGTACCCCCAAGGTAAGCACAGATAGAGAGATTGCTGGAGAAGTAGCCCAGCAGAGGAACAAAGAAGGTTCTACCCCCTAACTGCTATTGCAGTGTATAGTCAAGAGATGGGGGCATACAACCAATATTCACGCCCAATGAGGACTTTCTCCAAATCTACTAACAAGTCTGCATGAAGCTCCAGATTTCCTTCCTTGCGCAGGGCTTTAAAAAACAAATTCGGGGGAAAAAAAATTTGGAGTGAGACCAAATTAGTGGTTCTGTGAACCACTGTCTCTTCTGGAAATGGCTTCCTCTCCCTTCCTCCAAACACATTGGTGTTCCCCCAGCACCACACCCATAATGTATCTTTGCACCTGAGCCTGTAGAAACGCTCCTTTATAACCAAACCACTGCTGGTCTGGCTGGCTCCACCCTGATAGTGTGCATGGTAGAAAGGGGGTTGTCATTTTGCTAGCTTGCAAGGGCATTTGAGGGAAACTCCTCTGAGTGCTTTCCTGGCTTCATGCCACACTCAGTGGGGAAAATTAAAAGTGAACCAGCAGAAGGATCTAGAGCTCATTCATGTCCTTGAAGGCACAGCTAAGGGCTGAAAGGGTGCTATGACAAGAGCAACTGAAACCACCCCAGGCTCCCTGGGTCCACTGTTGAGGTATATTGAAGAGAGTAGGGAGCCAAAGAGCCAAAGGTACTTGGTGGGGGCAGGGGAGATATATATATATTTGCACAGAGCCAGTGCCTACAGACACAAACTTTCTGCCAAGATCTGACTGGCTAGGAAACCTACCTAAAACAAACTTCCCAAGGCTTCTGAAGAGGGTATTGTAAAATAGTGGGCCTTTTGGAATGACAAACTTAAAAGATTAGAATTGTCAGCTTTAAAAAATGAAAATAAACACCCAGTTTAATTTCAATCATCTTATAGCAAACAGTTTCTTAGTATGTACTTATAGTGATGGGACATACATATACAAAAGAATGTCCATTATTTAAATGAAATTCCAATTTAACTAGTTATCCTGTATTTTATTTGGCAGACCTAGTCCTGGAGAATTAGAATTTGTCTTTGCACTTGCATAGGGAGCCAGATTTGATCTCCGGTACTGCAAACAAATAAGTAAATAAATGTGCCTCTGACATCCCTTCCCCCCTTATTTCTGTCCATAATCTAAGGAAATAAAAGGGGAGATTCCTTCCATAAACTATCAGTCACCTATTGAGAGAAAAGGTTGTTCTCTGACCTTTGTTTTTACTTTTGGTGGTACTAGGGTTTGAACCTAGGGCCTTGTACTTGCTAAACAGGTACTCTACCATTTGAGCCACTTTCTAGCCCCTATTATTATTTTAATGTACTGTTTTTTCTCACTTTATTACTCAATACTAGAAAGCCAGTATTGGTGGAAAGTCTACTCCATTTGAGTTGGTCCTCTTGCATACAGGAGATCATTCCCTTCACTTTTTGCCTGCCAACCACCCTGGCTATTTTCCCCAGATTGCCATTATTTTGTCCCATTACCTTTATTTAATGAGACTAATAAGTAATCCTCTGCAAAACTCCAGCCAGAGGATACTTGCCTAAACTGGTCTTTTTGTACTTTACCCACCTAGTCCGTCATTTCCTCAAGGAGCAGTAATTGTGCCCCATACCTCACCTCTAAGACCCTGCTCCCTGGCCTTAAACTATTTCCCTATCTTCCATGGCAGGACAAGCTTTACCTGCCTGGTATTATGGGTTGTTGGCTGTTTTAGCTGTTTTCAGAACCAAAGACTCCTATCTCCTCTGCTCACCACCCTTACAAAACAAAGCAGACTTTTTATTCTCCTGGAAAATTACACATAATATGTTTTTCACTCATATCTAACAAGCATATTTGGTTTAGTTATAACACAGAACATACCTATATTCCAAACCTTATTTTTTTTACCTGATAATTAGAGCTATTTTCCAGTTGGAGTTAACAAATGCTAAAACTTTTTTTCCTTCATTCAGTGGCCCCATGACATTTTCTTGCATTTTCCTGGTTTTCTCCCCTGGTCATCATTTCATGGCTACTAGAAAACCAGAGAATAACAGTAAACCATTGTTTCCCTAGCAACAAATTCTGGATAATCATTTACTCTGATCATCCTTCTATAGAAGACTATAAATGATTTTTTTCCTTCATGGAAAAGATTGGAAGATTTAAATTCTTAGCCCTGTTTTAGGTTTTCATCCATCTATGGCTCTTCTTTTCCAAAGAGAAGCTGTACTTGGTGACCCCAAACAATGACAGCTCTAGAATGACCTTAAGAAACCCTGATCCGTCTGATTCTGTCTAGCCCTAGTGAACACTAAAACCTTCCTTTACAAGTCTCATCCAGCCATTAGAAATCAGAGCACCCCAGAAGCCTTACAGTGTATCTTTTTGAAACTCCTTACTGATAAAATGAAGATAAAGCAGATAACATGTATCCCTTGGATAAGTGTCTAATCCAGAGGATCTCCTTACTCCTTTTTAAAATTCTGAACCCTTTAATATACTTCTCTAGATGACTTGGAGAGAGGTCAGTTGTGAGAAAGATCTAACTTCTAACAATTAAATGCCATTCTGACCCTTAAAAGGTTTGTAGACTATTGGGAATGAGTTGGATATCAAAGCCAAATTCAACAGACAAGAGGATTTATCTTTTCTTACAAATTGCTCTAATATCCAGGTTAGCACATTATGGCCCTTGCTTTTTGATAAATAGGCATACATTTGTTTTATTGGCACATAGCCACACGGATTCACTAACACATCATCTGTGAGATTCACTCTCCAACCCTTTGCAGAAAAGTTTCCAACCTATGCTCTAGAGCTGTGGTTCTCAACCCTGGTTGCATCTGAGAAGTACTTAGAAAGTGACATCTACTCAGTATTTTTAAATTTTCTAATGCATATGCTTGTATCAAGTCAGAAGGATCTTCAAATGCTGCAGTCTTCAAATGCTCCCTGAGTTTGATGCAGAGAGTAGTACAGGACAAGAGAAGGAATCAGAGTAGTTTAGTGTCTCCTCCCCCTTTGTCCTCCTCGACAACACACATTGGGGCACATGTGTAATACAACACATGTGTACCTTCTCCATTCCCTGCCCTACCTTGAGGGCTGAAGAGTTCCAGCTCTGGAATGCCGCCCCACCAGCAAGACCTTGCCTAGTGAGAATGAGGAACATGAGAGCTCATGGGTGTGAGGCCTGGGGCTAGAACCTGGCCTTGCTGGAATTACTCCTTGACTCACTAAGCACCAACTTCCATGTGTCCATTGGTAGCAATCTCCAGAGCAGTCTGGAGGTTCCTTCTGCCTTTGCCTCCCCTCTCTCCTAAGTACTCTTGTTCCAGTATAGAGGTCCTGCCTGCCCTCCCCCTGCCAAAGTAACTCCTAGAAAAAAATTAACATGGCACAGATGATCCCTGAAGTGTGCCTGCTTGGAACATGAGGCTTTTTCCTCTATTTCTCATTTTTCTCCTGTGACTTTTGCAACCTTATCATCTCCTGTTTTACTATCTGACAACCTTGACAGGCTCTTCCCATGAGAGAGGATTAGGTGACTGGTAGAGAAAGGGAAGAAGAGAGATGAAGTAGTTGGGCCTTTCTGTGGTTGAAAAACAAACGTTAAGTAAACTACTATTTCTTCACAGCACACCATTCCGGAAGGCCAAGGCCTTGTACGCATGCAAAGCTGAGCATGACTCGGAACTCTCCTTCACAGCAGGAACAGTCTTCGATAATGGTGAGTTTCCCATGCCCTAAACTAAAATACAAGGGAGGCAGACAAATGACTGGCATTTTTCAAATTCACCTACAGCTAAAACTCAACAGTAGGTAAGATAAGAGAGAGAAAGGGAAGAGAGAGGGAGAGGGAAGGAGAAGGATGGAAGAGGAGGAGGGAGACAAAACGAGAGAATATGAGAACAGCAACAAAAGTAGACAAGCAAGTGTGTCCTCAGCCTCTAGCAGAGTTGTTCTCAACCTAAATGAGATTAGACCTTCAGAAACCTCAGTACTGGGCAGTAGCTTTCAGAGTCTGAGGGCTGCACTGAGAGAGGACTAGAGACTAAGGAGCAGAGAAAGAAATGTCTGCAATTGGAAGCACAAGCTGGAGCTTGAGTCTTCCTGGTCTGTGGCCTCTTTCTCTTGGGAAGAAGGTGAATGCAGGCAGGGCAGACCAGAGAGCAGAACACTTAGTGGGCTCTGAAACCAGTTCTAATGCCACTCGGGGAAGCCACCTGGGGTTCTTATTTATCCTCTTTTTAATTTGGGCAATCATAGAGAAGACTCTCCTATAGCACCCTATATAACTGGGATGTAGTACTGTTTTCTTGTGCCTTTTTAATTTATTTTCCTCCTGAAGAAACAGAATTTCAAGTGAGAGTTGGTGTCATAATTTGTCATAACACTATTTACACAAGAGAAAAGTCTAGATTCTGAAAAGCCCAGGTTTCTTTGACAACTGAGCTTTCTCTAGATGATAGCATTCTCCTTTGGGGTTAAGCCTCCTGATCACTAAGCCAAAGAATCGGTTCTACTTTCCTCAAAGGAGGCAGCAAAGGCAGCCACCTGGTTTCTAGCTGCCTTCCTGGCATTAGGTATGGTGAGGGCAAAGGTCTGGAACCATCCTCATGGACATCTCTGCCTTGATCTTCCTGCCTCAATGGGAGCTAGCAGTATGGGGTGGGACCAGGGCAGCCAAGGTAGCCACACAGCACCAGAGAGGCTGACCCGCAACACACATCCAATTTGACCATTTGCTCTTGTGTGATGTCAAGGCAGTGAGTGACTTAGTCTCTGTGACCCGGTTCTCTCCTCTGTGGCACACTGCCTGCCTTTTAGGGCATTGTGAGGGGAAATAAAGACAATGCATCTCACATGTTTAAAGTTATATTTGACACGTGTGGACACTCAAGATATTCATACCTCTATTTTTAGGATCATTTTATACATCTTAGAGAAGACCTTGACATCATAGTTCACAAGGACAACTCTTCCTCTCTAATGTAGCTCATGCCTGGCTTTTGATTGGGCTGTAGGCCTTTAGCCTGGATAACCTGAGTCCTGACTACATCTGAAAGGGCCTCCCAGCCCAAGCCAGAGCAGAGATGGGCTCCTGGGAACCCACCTTTGATTGGAGCTACAGCCAAGGAGGCTGCCAGCCCCCTGAAGCCAAGTGTCTAGACCCTGCTTTCTGCACAACAGCATTTGCTATCAGGCTTGGGTGGGCAGAAGGGGAAACATGGCCCTGAACATGTGAGGACTCCAGATCACACTCAACCAGCATGATTCAGGGTGAGCCAGAAAGTGCATGTGGCTTGCTGAGCCTGCCTTCCTTTTTCTTCAACTCAAACACTGCACTGTCCTTAAACCTTTGCACTGTTAAATCTTGGCCAGCCCTGTTGCCTCTCCTGTCAGCAGCTGGTGCTTTCAGACTGGCAGGTGCAGTGGGTCTGTCCAAAACCATGTCATTGGTGAGTTTTCCCCACACAGACCCAGGTGGAGGAGTCACAGCCCAGACGTAACATGACACAACTTTCATGACATGAGCTAGAGTGGACTGCAGTGCTTGTACCCCTGTGTCCTGCGGTCAGCAGGGGAATGGTTTCTCCCTGTAGATGGGCAAGGTGTGACAGGTCCTCACACTTAGAGTGACTCTAAGACCACAACTCTGACCAATAAGACCCAAATCACTGCACCCAAGGGCAGTGAGGAACCTATCAGTTCTTTGCTCATCCCGCATGGGACCTCTGACACTGTGGGTCTCATTTGGGATTCTATTAAGTGCAGTCTTCTTCCATTTTTAACAAGCTTACTAAGATACACACGTATATAATTTATCCATTTAAGTTCAACGTTCAGTTTTGTGAGTTTTTATTTTATTTTGTTTTGTTTTTATGGTCCTGGGGATTGAACTCAAGGTTGCCTGCTTGCTTGGCTTGTTTGTTTAGCTGGCACTCAGCCATTTAAGCCACACCTCCAGTCTGGATCTTTGCTGGTTATTGTGGAGATGGAGTTTTGAAGACCTCTCTGCCCAGGCTGACTTCAAACTGTGATCCTCGGGATCTCAGCCTCCTAAGTAGCTAGGGTTATAGGCATGATCCACTGGCACCCAGCTCTTCATGACTTTCAATTGCAAGTCCTTTCCTATCCCACAGGGTGCTCTTCTCAGCCAATTCAATGAGTATTTCCACCCCACTGTTTGGCAATCATTGAAACTACTATAGTGATGCATGAGAGCAAGAGAGAGGTTTGATAGGACAGTCAGAGGACTTCCCTGATCTGTTGTGATCTCTAGGAGTCATGGCAGAGTTCATGGACCCGACTTTGTTTTTAACTAGCAATGTCAGTGACCTTTCAAATTCCCTGAAGAGCAGAGCCAAATTAAACCTCAAAGAAAAACACCTCTCTGTGTTGACTGAGCTGTAGTCAAAGGTGAATCTGACAAAACTTGGTTTGGCTGATACTTATTAAGGCCTATTCCAGAAGGAAATGCTACATATACACTATTTCCTCTTCTCTTTTCTACAGAAATCAGGCATTACAGGTGAAAAAAAACTGTAACACATTAGGTCTTTTCCCTTTTTCCCTAGTTCTGCCCCTTCTATGTTTGCTACTGGAGATTCTAGGAAAGGGCTACTTAGCTTGGATGTGCTGTAACTGTCAGATTCCAATATCTGGCCAATCAGAAGAAAGTACCTCAGTGTTAGGTTTAGACTGCTCATAATCTGGCTATGTGTGTGTGGTGTGTTGTACTTTGTATATTTTCTTTTTCAGGAATCAGGAGGTAAGGGAGGGAGGAGCACGTGGAGACAAAAGTCTGCCCTTTGATAATTATTAACCTCTCAGCCTCAGGGATGCTTGGGGCCTGAGCTGCAGCTCCAGAGCAGCTGCTTAGTCAGCTCTTGGACTTTATGCAGTGCAGGGAGGAGGAGCAGTACTCAGAAATCTCAGAAATAACTTTCAGCCCTGGCTGATCTACTAGGAAATTGTCCACTTCACCAGGAGCACCAGCCACAGTAATAGGAAAGAGAAACAACGTATGTTCTCAGGAACATTAGTCACCTGCAACAGAGTAATTCATGATACCTGGAACAGTCAGGAGGCAGTTACTACTACAGTTGGGTTCTTGGGATACTGCTGTCACCATTTGAGATGAGCTGGGTCTCTTCACTGGTGCAGTGCCAGGTAGGACTGTCCCAGGTGCCTCTGTTGATAGAAAGAGTCTTTACCAGAGTGTCACAAGCTGCATGGGGTGAAGTTACAGAACCACTCAGAGTCCCAACCACATCTATTTCTCCTCCTGGCATTGCTACCAGCCCTTATCAGGTCTTGTTCTTCCCTCTGACCTTTTTGGCCCCTTCGCTATACAGCATCCAAAGTGGCTTTCAAACAATGGCAAGCACATTCATTCTGTCTTTCCCCAGTTCATACTACTCCAGAGGCCTCCTGTTGCTTGAGCATGATCTATGAGGCCCTTGTGGCCCTCTGACCCCTTCATCATCCTTTGACACCGTCACCTCATGGGTCACCTTCATGTTCTGAGACAGAGTTGACAAACTTCAACCTGCGGGTCAAATTCAGCTAGTCACTTGGTTTTTGTAAGTAAAGTTTTATTAGAACAGCTAGGCATGCCTCTTCATTTACATGTTATCTAGGGCAGTAGAGTGGCAGAATTGAGAGGCATATTCACTGTCAGGCCCTTGATGAGAAATTTGCTGAGCACTGTTATAAAGTAACAGGAAACTTCTCCGCATAGTACAGCCTTTGTACCTTTGAATCATGTAGGTTTTAGATTTTTTTATATTCTCCCCTAGATCTCTGTCCTTGTGTTTATTTGTCTCCTCTGTTTCTCTCTCTCTCTCTTCCTCTCATCTTCCCTCCTTCCCTCCCTCCCATCTTTCCTTTCCTCTCTCCTTATTTTCACTACCTGAAAGCATATGCTCATTTTCTGATACTGAGTCCCTCTGCAAGAACAGAATCTCTCCTGCTTGTTCTTGCCTGTGTACAAGGACCAAGCACCATGGGACACATGGTGCTTCAGTAGGCATCTGTTAAACAAGTAATTGTAGTCTAACTACACTGAGGCCGACACCTTTTTCAATGGAGCCTTCTGCCCTTGCAGGATACTAGCTATTAGAGCCATAGAGATCATAGTCATCCTCTTACCCCTGTCCACAGTCAACTGAGGAGGGGAGAGAGCAGAAGCTGTATATGCAGGACTATAGCTTGTACGAGGGATATAACTGAGAGGGGGGGGGAGAGAGAGGCAGAAAGAGAGAGCAAGGGTGGGAAGAAGGGTAGGAGGGAAGGAAGGAGGGAAGGAAGCATATCCACATCAGCAGCAGTTTAAATTTATTATATACTTGCTGGGCTCAGCCAACTTGCTGCAACACCTTATGTGTTTACATCCTACACTGGACACTGATGTGATTCAGTGTTGGACATTGGTGCAATTTAGCCCAGTAAGCATTTACAGTAGTTATATATTTTTTTCTTTTTTGGTCAGTCGTGGGTCTTGAACTCTGGGCCTGAGCGCTGTTCCTCAGCTCTTCAGCTCAAGGCCAGTGCTCTACCACTTGAGCTACAGTGCCACTTCCCCAGTAAGCATTTACTGCGTAACTTTAAGTCACAAAGCACTGGTATAGGCAAAGCTAGAGAGGTGAAGACCACAGATTCTGGGCTTAGATATCTCTCACTGTGATATATCTCCAATATCTATCAGCTACAAAATTTAGGGGAAGGGGCTGGAAAGGTGGCTCAGTGGTAGAGTGCTTGCTTTGCATGCATGAGGCCCTGGGTTCGATTCCTTAGCACCACAGAAGCAAAAAGAAAAAAGCCGGAAGTGGCGCTGTGGCTCAAGTGATAGAGCTCTAGCCTTGAGCTGAAGAGCTGAGGGACAGTGTCCAGGCCCAGAGTTCAGGCCCCACGACTGGACCAAAAAAAAAAAAAAAAATTAGGGGAAGATGCTTAACCTTTGGGAGCCTTGTTTTTTTAATCAGTAAAACAAAGATAATAGCAGAATTAATTCCAGATAAAAGGAACTGATGCAGGTAGAACATTTATTAGCAAAGCATGAACCACTTAGCATATGGTAAATACAACAGATCTTCTAGTACATTCTCTGGTTGAAAAGAGTCAGAATATAGTGGGAGTGGTCTGGGTCTTTGGAGTCCATCAGACAATCTGGGCTCTAATTCCAGTTCTCCCCTAAGACCATGTGCACATTAATTTACCTTTCTGAGCTTTGTTTTCTCATTTGGGATGATAATAATACACATTAGAATCATGAGTATCAAATGAATCAATGGCCCATGGCAGCTTGATAGCCCAGTTGGATTATGTCATAATCTGTGAGGGGAATTATTGAAGGTTTTTGAGTCATGCTTATAGCACAAGACAAAAATTCACTGAAAAACCAGACCAAGAAGCAAAGCTTTACTTCTCAGCAGTCTGTTAAGAGGACCATGACTATGATGCAGGATGTAATATGAGCCTTCTAGAAGTCAGGAGGAGAAAGGCAGCAGGTACACGTGATTCCATAACACTGTTTAGGAAGGAGGTGGGACTTCAGCTGTGCACTGAAGTGTGCAGACAGGAAGCAGAAAGAGGAAGGTAGAGTATGGGGGCCCTCCCTCAGCTAATGAGATGAATCATTTTAATTCTTTTTTTTTCTTCTAAAGCAACTTGTTGTTCTTTATTCTTTTTTCCCACTTTTTCCCCCTGATCAATTAGTTATATAAGGGTTTTCATTTTGACATGGCCATATAGGTATACAACATACTTGATCAGGCCCTCCCTCTCCATCACTTTCCATTCCCTCTTCTCTCTTCCCATACCAGTTTCTTTTTAGCAGAATGAAGGGAGAGAGTAAATGGAGAGTGTAAAGGAGGATAGACATGTTCATTTTAATTCTTTTTTTTTTATTCAACACTAGGGACTAAACTCGCCAGCTTGTACTTGCTACGCAGGCACTCTACCACTTGAGCCATGCCTCCGATCCCTTTTTGTTTTGGTTCTTTTCAAGGTTGGGTATAGCTTTATGCAAGGGTCAGAGCCTCAGACTACTAGCTCCTACCTTTACTTCCTTCAAACCTAGGATTACAGGCATGCCTCACCATACCCAGTTTATTCTTTTAGATCAAGCCCAAATTGTCCTCAAACTGCAATTCTCCCATCTCTGCCTCCCAAGTAGTTGGATATACAGACATGAGCCAGTATGCCTGGCCTTCCCAGGAGTGTATTCATTGACTTGAATGGGGCCAGAAATCCCTAGTTTCAATAAGCAGTCATGTGAAATAATGCTCATGGTCCAGCACTGTGATTCACCCAAGTCTGGCTTGAAGACTATCATCAGACTGACACAAAGGCTCCTGTGAGGTATTCCCCTTGGCTTTTAGTTGGAAGGGCCTCCCTTGACCCCCTGATCCGTCCCTTAGTCTGTATATTCCACTTCTAACATATGCTCTACCACCTTATTACTTATGCTGTTTGAACAGCTGGCAAAGAAGGGAGAAAGGCCTGAGAATGTGGACTTGGTACATTTGGTTGGGCAACAATTCAACTAGGAGCTATGCTGTAAAGTCAGATAGGTCATTTTTTTTTATTCTCAGTTGGTTGGTTTATTCTATATCATTTGTTTTGAGAAGTGGGTTTGTTTTGTTTATTTTGGTTCTGAACATCTGAGATTTCCAGAAGCTTCAGTGGTTGTGCTGATCAGGCTCAGCTTAGGTTTTACTGAGAGTCTTATGAGCTAGTCCATGCCTGGCCTACTAATGTGGGGGCCCACACTGACTCACCTGCATGGGACATTTACAGTGTACTTGGTTCTGTGCAGACTGTCCACATTGGTTCCTTTAATCAATACAAGAACCAACTAGAGGGAAGAGATCTCATTATTACTACTTCAGAGGTACAGTGGCAAAAGTACTCTGGACAGCATTGGCTGAGTAGACGGGGAGAGGGCAGGGGACATATGGGTATACGTTAGGGGCTACCTAGGAGTGCTTTGGTGACTAGAGAGGCCAGGTTGCCTCTAGGTGATGTGAGATGGCCCATGGTTTCTCTCCAGCATCTTCTTTGTGTAGGCTGCCATGAATCTATGGCATTCTTGATATTTCGACTTTGTCCTTGAAGACTTGTAGTAAGAAGTTGGCCATGATATTGGAAGCCAACTAATAGATGTTTGCCCTTGTCTTTTGCTAAGGAAGCATTTGAAGTCTATCCAATTTTGATCGCTGCACCTCAATGGAAGTCTTTTTGCTGCCTCCCCATTTGCTTCCTCTGATTTGTTTTTGCTTTTGTCCCTACAAACCGAAACTAGAATTATATAGTAGTGTTGGGACGGAAATGCTTTTCTAAAACAAGCTCAGGAAGGCACTTAATTAGCCCAGGAAAGGAACAGGGAAAAATTCATTCTCTCCAAACAATCTCAGATAATTGGAGTTTTCCTAAAACATTTAGTTTAAATGCCCTCCCCCAGAGTGATCTGTATACTGATCCCTGGTTCACAAGCACCAAGACTCCCCACCTCCCAGTCTGCAATGACTTCTCTCTTCCTTCCTGCTATTGATTGCTCTGCAGACTCAGCTGGATTTTCCCATAATCATTATAATATCATATGGTTTCCACAGTTTCTGTGGAGAAGGCCTGTGATGTCACAGAAGCAGGTCTAGTATTTTGGGGCATTAAAACATCAAAGGGACAGTGACTTTGAAAGTTGGGGTAGAAGGAAGAGGACAAAGCTTTCAGACCTGTGTATAAGAAAGGGGAAATTCTAGAGCACAGGAAAGAAAAATAAGAGTGTAGGTGGAATGGGAGGAGGGCATTCAAAAGCTAAAACATGAAAGAAAGAAAAGACAGACTCTGCAAAGGAATCCGAAGCAGAGGTAAAGATTTAAAGAAAAATAAAATGCATTGGTTAAAACTAGATATCAGTAAAAAACTAGTACTAGTTCTTCTCAGTCTTCCATGGGCATTCCTCTTGCTAGTGGAGTTGGTACTGAGTTGTAGGTGAATACGTGTGTTGGTGGGTGGATGGATAGACCAACAAATGGGCAGATAGGTAGATGAATGGAGCACCACAACTGTTGACTTCTAACCAAGAAAAATATAACTCTGTTGTTTATAGTTTAAACCAGGAACTTCAGAAAATCCACAAAAACCCTAAACTTGCATTCAGAGTTTTGAATGTCTGAGTCTGTTTTCCTTTTTTGTTGTGGAAAAATTTCAGCCTTCATTAGAAGGCGTATAACCCCCAAAAGGTTAAGAACCTCTGGCTTAAACCAGTCTTAGAATTATGTAACATAATCAGCACTCATTCCCCAAACTTCATAGAACACAGCACACATTCGCCTTCTGCTTTGCCTATAATGTCATCTCTTCTCACTCTCTCTCTCCCCTCCCTGTGCAGTTCATCCATCTCAGGAGCCTGGTTGGTTGGAGGGGACTCTAAATGGAAAGACTGGCCTCATCCCGGAGAACTACGTGGAGTTCCTTTAACTGTGGGCCCCAGAAGAGCTGCTGAGCTTTATGCGGTCTCCATGGCAACTGCTCATTCTAGTGTTGTGGGCCACATCTCATTGAGAAAGCAGGAAGACTGCAGATTGCTACCTGTCAACACAAATGTGTCTGAGAACTCACCTCACCATTCTCCATGATCCTCTCAGCTGACACGTGGCAACGCTGCAAGAAGCAAAAGTCAATCAGCAGGAGAGGCCATTTGATTGTGATAACCTAGAGAAAGGCTTGGAAAGCTGTTCTCTAGTGAGTGCCCTAAATAGGGAGAGCTGATTTTTGTGTCAAGTCACTCAAACCCCCAAACTTTGGAAAGAGGAAGTGAAACATGAGAAGTCCCCAAGAGCGCACAGCAAAGAATCTTGTGCCCAGATCCAGCAGGGACCACTGCTTTTGTTTACAGCAGACACACTTTCTCTCCACCTCCTAATCTTGGAGACCCACAGTGCTGCAGGCAGCTGGGTCCATCTGTTTGCCAGTAGGATGGAGAGCAGTTACAGCCCTGTTTATTTAAGATCTGATCTTTTGCCATCTTTAAAGTAGCCTTTGTCCCATCATCAGCAAAAGTCAGTTCATTCCTCTCAAGCAAAGGAACACGTGCACCCCACATTCACCCTTCCTGAGCTAAGAACTTCTCTGCTGCTGCCTGGTAACCATGGCAACCCAACCTATTCTAAAATCAAACCAAAAAAATACTTAACACGCTGTCTTTGCATGGCATACTTCCTTTCTCTTCCCATTTTGGTAGTTTTATGGAATGGTCTTCCAACAACATGGAGCAAAGGATCAAAGAATTGGGCTGGCTTACCTGGGACAGACAGAATAACAGCTGAGGATTTGTTCCCTTTCTGATAAATTTCAGCAGCATCAGGATATATTTGGAACAAATTCTAGTAGCCCCTTACAGTTAAACCACACACAGGCTTAATATTTTCTTTCTCCATGCAGTTGGTGTTTGCTTGCTAGGGGGAAAATTTGCTTCTATGAGCTATGCCATCTGACTAGTTCTTCATGTTCTCGCTTTCACTCATTCCTGCACCTGCCCTTGCTGTCATTCTCATCTGGACCATTACTGAGCAGCCTCCTGGCTGTGCTTCAGGCCACTGAGCACTGGTGCCCTGTGGACTTGGGGGACAACTCCTGAACTTGACCCATGGCCTAGAGTTAAGGACGTCTGTGTTCACTGCCACCCAGAAAAGGGAATTAATCTCAGACTTTCTAAACATGAGCTTAACATCACAGTTCATTGTGATTCAGGAAGACACCAACAGTTTGGGCATGAAGGCTTTCCCTTTTAAGTAAGGGAATTTCCTGGTTGAAAGGGCTGTGGAAGATTGCGTTGATGGGAGGTTCCATCTGAATATCGTAAATTCACTTGACCTCCAAAGAACAAAATAATCATATTCTACATGTGAATGCCCTTGAAGAGGGACTCCAGAATGTCCTTGAAGAGGGACTCCAGACAGACTTAACTGTAACACTTCCCAAGAACCCCTCTGATGGCAGCGATGCCCTGGAGAATGTTTCTTGCTTCTGGAATTCCGTTAGGGACCTCTCAAGAAGAAAAGAAAAACTTGAATTGTGTTGAATTACTGTATCTTTTACTTTTTTTAAAAAAAGATAAACTTGTACATAGAGTGATTTGAAATACTATATGGCAAAGTTTTATATTTGATATTCTTGAAGCTAGTTGCTCCATACATTTAGGCTTTGACTGCTGAACAAGCTTTTTAGAGGATGGGGGAGAAGGCAAGGCTGAAGAGTTTAAGGTCATTATCCTTTCTGGCTCAGTGAAAGGAAAAGGTATTTCTTTGTGTTCTCTTGTTAGTGAGCCAAACACATTAACAGTGTTCAGCATTCAGTGTTCTTGATCTACCTATGTTTCTGAGCATTCCTTGGGCTTTAGATTTGGAGTTGGAAAGAACATCTTGAGGTAATGAGATTTCAGATAACACAGACAGCTCAGGATTTAAATAGATGGGACCAGGGGTGAAATTTGGTTTTGCAGTTTTCTTCTCAGGTGTATTTCTTGGTACCCCAGATGTCAGGACAGAAGGAGATGAGGCACTTATTGTACTCCTTACTCCTTACTTTCCACAGCTTCTAAGGCTTTATAAATTAGACCAGGTTAGTTTGCAAACTATGTACATGCGCTTGTTAAAAAGCTGACTGCTTAGATCTTTAGGTTCTTGATGTGCTGCTGCTTTCCCTTTCTGTAGTGATGTTCTGCTCTTTCCATTCATCTCCAAATACCCTATAGCCCTCATATAAAAAAAGATCCCCAGAAGAATGTAGATTGTGCCATTACAGGTGGCTTTAAAGTTAACAAGAGCTCATCATTGTGATTGACTAGTCATGAGTTTTCCAGCTGAATTAGTACCCTTAACTCTCATTGCCAGGCACCATTGACTCAGTCCCATAATCCACAAGGCAGAGAGTAGAAGGATTGTAGTCCAAGGCCAGGCTGGGCAGAAAAATTCTTGAGACACTATCTTTAAAATAACCTACAAAAGGCAAGGCTGCAGGTATTACTTATATGATTGAACACCAGACTAGCAAGTATATGGCTCTGAATTCAAATTGAATAAAAGATAAGAAAAAAGAAAGCTATCATTGAACACCCAAGAAGAAAAGCAATAATGGGTACTAGAATTGTTTCCCTTGAACAATGGAAAAGAAGTTGGGAAATGGGTCTCAAGGCATCATTGCACTTTCCAAATCAAAAGAATACAGCATAATGCTTTTGATTTGTTTCTTTCAATTGTCACCTGCCCCATCATAATTCAAGCACACTTGTAAATACATGTCATCCAGTCTGCCATTTGGGAGCATGTTCTTCCCTCCTGAGTTGCTACCAAGAGGATCTCTGAAGTGTACATCTTCACCTCTTTGAGGCCCTGTATGACAGATGGCCACGTTAGTATCTGGACTGACATCCTTTGTCCCCATTAGTTATAGAACTAGAGGAGCTGTTTAGCATATGAGCCCAACAAGAAGGAAGGAATTTGAAGATTAAAAATAAATTCTCTCCACTATCCATGCTCCCACTCTACTCCTAACATACTCTCCCTCTCTCCCAACATCCCCCTCTCTCCCTCTCCCTTTCCCTATACCTCTCCCTCCCTCCCTCTCTCTGCTTCTTTAGGGAACTTTAGAGCTGATCAGGGGAATAAATATCAGAGTAGAAGTACATTGACCAAAACCCCAAAGTTCTTCTGGGAGCATCAGGTTTTCTTTGAAAGGCCTTAGGAGGAACAGTTAGCCGTAGCCAGAATTCCATTGGGTATTGAGATCAGTCTCATGCTTTACACAAAGTTCCATAGCTCAACAATGCTGTGCCATTGAAAGCTAGTTTCAGATCTCTGTCTCCAGGCAAATGGATTCCTGATTTGCTCAAGACTAATGAAAATTCTCTTTAGTATTTCTAACTGAATATATGGGAATAAACCCTCTATAGTACAAACTTTATTGGTATTCTAGAATGGGAGCCAACTGCAGATACTTCTAAAGCTAAAATGTGTCTTATGAATGCTGTTTGACAGAGGGGCAAAGAAAAAGAAAATGAGCAATAAGTATTGTCACCAACAGGTCAAAGCTAATGACAAGATCATTTCACGCACCTGCCTAGGACCCCAGAATTGTATGTGTCTCCTAAAAGTGGTATCCCTAGTCACCCTGAAAGGCTCTCCTAAAACATCAGTGGTTGAGGGACAGGGTGATAGAACACCGAAGATAGTGTGACAGTATGTTTGTGACTGTCTTTTGGCACTTTTCACCCTCTGGCATCTGGCTTCAACTATAAACCTGGATCATTCAAGTTTTATGGACATAGGACTCAGGTAGGGCCAGTGGCCATCACGACACCAAAAATTCTCTCTAGTATTAAATGTTCTGTAAGCAGTCTTATTGTCTAAGTAGAGAGCCCGCATCAGTGAGACCAGGGATCTTCTTAGCTACTTGACTTTCCAAAGAATGCCCTAGGTGTTCTGCCTAGGGAGTTAGTTATCTGTTATCTTTGTCCAACTTGACAATGATCAGTCAAGCTGACAATCCTGCCCCACAACCCTTTCAAGTTAGCTGGAGTCCTCTCACACACCCTGTGCTGGTGTTTTAAAAATGCACCTTGTCATGCTCAAATGTGCTTGGCAGCCACGCTGATATGCTGGGTGCTGAAGCACTTCTCTGTAATTGTAGCATCAAAGGTGAGCAGTGAACCTTCACAACCTTCTAGCCTGCCTGAGACAAGACTCCAACAAGTAATAATTAGCTTTCTTCCTGCCTGCCGCCTACAGTACTCAACGAGCTGAAAGAGCCTCCCAATGCAGATAGGGGCCAGATGGAGAATCTGATATCATTCAGAGGCAGCCCTTGCTGAAATGCAGCTTTCTCAAGGAAGAAAAATACTAGGTAGAACCAAAGCCACCATCAGAGAGGAGGTGAACCATTCTGAGGAATTTTAGATTTGTTTTTTAGAGAGAATATTCTTAAGAGGAAAAGTGATATCACAACTGGTATTTTGTACAAAAGTTTGCAAGACATTATAAGGCAGACGGTTTAGAGAACAAAGACTGACCCTGGTTCTAGACTCACTGGAAGGGGAGCAGTTAGTAATTTTGTCAAAATTCACAGTAGTGTAGTTGGTAAGAACCAGGGTTTGATAACCAAAATGTCTTTTGGCACAATTCCACAGAGGCTGAGTCTCTGCCATTCTGTATCACCATTCCTATAGTCATCCAAATGTATACCAATTAAGTAGCTTTCTTGAAGACCAGATCCATGTTACAGCTATGAAAAGATACATCTGTGATTCTAAAGTAGGTGTGTATTGTGTGTGTGTGTGTGTGTGTGTGTGTGTGTGCATGCACATCTGTACATGTTTGGGTAGGGCACCTCTCGACATTGGTAAAGTGACAGACTCTCACCTAGAGACCCACAAGACCTGGCATTTCCTCAGCTTTTATAACCTTTAAGATTTGGAGGTTGAGAATTAGAAAAATGAGCAGCTGTTGATTGCCTAGCAAAAGATCAAAGATGTATATTAAGTGCCATTTAAAAATTGTGGTCATATTTATCAAATAGTTATCTGCAGCTATATTCCTCATTAACTTATTAAAAGTCATGTGGAAAAAGAAATCAAACCCATGAATGCTTAGTAACTAGTGCTAGGCTAGTGTTCTAAAGCACTCTAAAAGACATTTTGTCCATATTTTAGGAGAGAAACTATTTGCATGTTTAATTCATAATTTAGGCTACATTTGAGTATACTGTAAAGTGTGTGATATAATATCAATAAAGTACTTAAAATGGCACTTTAATGTTTTCTTTTAAAATCCATAAATAATGCACTGCTTTAAATTTCAGTATTGAATATTGACTGGTGCATAGAACCAGATTCCATAATTAAAAAGTAATCTGTGATTAGGATAGAACTTTTTCCCTGTTACTAGAAAAAAAACAACTTTTGCCATGTTCTGGCTTTTTAAAAACTGTACTTTTGTGTTACTATGCATATCTATAAAGAAATCACAATTTCTGTCCAGTGGCTTTCCTACCTTTCGTTGGTTTATGTGACAATCTATGAAATGAGTGGAAGTATGATTTTTGCATTAAATGACTTTTCCATTTGGTGGTATGTTGGTTTCTTGAATTTCTGACGAAGTATATTTTAATATTTCTTCAAATAAGCAGATCGAGACTGTGGTCAAAGGTCCCAAGTCTAGATTCCAGCAGTTGTTGGACAGACACAGAGTTGTCTTGTATGAGCTCTAAGGAGCTTTGGTTTTCATTTAAGAAGTAGTCCCCATTATACAATATGCACCATTTCCAAGTCCTACCCCACAGAACCATCCTGACTCTTCCTGAATGCTTGTTTTATTCTCCCTCAATTCAGTTTTCTAATTGCTTCTTCTCTGGATCTTTGTGAACACTATATGAAATAATCAAGAAAGCCAGCAGGCCTCTTATTAAGCCCTCTCATTCATCACATCCCCTTCTAGGACCAGCTTGAGTTGCAGCCTGTGACCCTAATGCACAGTGAGCACCCAACCTCAGCTGCTTGCTCAGAGGGCTGAGCGACCTCTCTGAAGCCAGGAGCGTGGGGAAGTCAGGGGTTGAAGGTGAGGCTTCTGACTTCCAAAACCAGCCCAGGGTGGAAGAGGAAGAAGGTGAGTCTCCCTTGCTGCCTGGGTGTAAGGGGGTGGCCGTTTAATGTGTGGATCGTACTGAACTGCCCATGTTAATTTTGTTCCTTGGCTTGCTCTGCAAACAGCACAGACTTGTGGCATCTGCCATCTACACCAAGTTTGCAGGCCTTCTGGAAATCTCACTCAGCACCTGAAGCCTCTTCTATATGTGGGTTCTCCTGTACCTGGGGGAGGCTTTCTGAGTGTCATCACTATGGACAGAACAAAATGTGTGGTATGGGATTGTATCTTACCTTAGGGCCTTGCCTTTCCAACGCTCATCAGTCACTTCAAGTTTCACATCTTCCAAACAGGAAAGCCTTTGCTTTTCCGTTTGTTCTTAGCAACCACCCAGAGCAGAGTTCAGACTGTGTCATGTCCTGTGGTTTGCTTGGTGTTTTTCACTTGTTAGTTCTGGCTGCATGATTAGTTATAAGAGCACCTTGGTTAGAAATGGACTTGATTGACATTTGAAATTAGGTAAATGTTATACTGTGTGTGTAGAGAAAGCTATTCTCAGACCTCAAACAAGATTTGCTCTCTTTTGAGAATTATGTTACGACTCTTGTAATTTCTGTTCTCAGTTCTTTCTCAACCTCCACTCAGATACCACATCCCTCTCCTACCCCAAGTGTCAATGTCATTGGCTGGCCTTGCTTTTAATAGCACTAAGCTAAGCTGCAACTAATTAGCCATGCTGAGCTCCTCAGTATGGGCGGACGGTGGCCTGCACAACAGCCAGGGGAAGCCCTGGCCACGGCCAGGACTGCTCAGGGTGGATGGTTCCTGGCATGAGACAACTTTCATTGGTTGCCCTCGGAGTGGGCGTCCTCACACCACAGTATATCTCAGAATACCACCCTGTTAACTAGCCCGCATCAGACTGGGGACTGAGCAGGATGGTTTTCCATTGATATAATCAAAACCATACCCCACATCTTCTTACAACTCCTGTCACGCTATGTCTCTTACGTAATTGCAGGAGGCTGGTGGCAACCTCTTAACTAAAACCCACGTAGCTAGTAATGCCTGCCTCAGGCCCCAGTGAACCATTGAAGACTTAAACTCACGCTCCTTTCTTCAGGTGCCCTGTCCCATCTTATCCTCCAGAGCTCAGGCTCACCCCAAAGTCCAAATACATGTTCTCACACTGTGGTTGGACTTCCTTTTAGCATTTTGTGGGAGCAGATTATTGCAAAGTTATTTTTAACGTTGTTAACTTGAACCCAGGGTAACAAAATATTTCCGTTTGCTCATGTGCTTGGATTAAAGCCTGTTGGAGCAAGACTTCTGCCTTCCACTCAGGCATACACAACCACATTCCCAGCCATGTCTGCTGGTGCTCTGCACAAGAAACCATCTGGATAAGCAGCTGCTACGAGCAAAAAACCCTTCACTGTCATCTAGGTTACTTAGGAAACTCATGCTAAGCTGAGGGCCACTCAAGTAAAAAAAAACACATCAGAATAGCCCCAAATGTTTCAAGGATGATTTTCTAAGGACCCATCCAGGAAATTCCACACTGTCCCATGGGAACTGGGTCTGGTATCTAGCACTTTCCCAAAGGGATTTCTTTATGTCTCACTTTCCCTATGTTACAGCTAGATCTGTTTCCATTCTGACTTTCTGCAATGATGACCCCTTACATGCCAAAAGCTGCTGATTCCAGAAATGAAGGACTTGACCCCTGTTCTTAAGGCACACACAGCATAGGTCATGTGACACTGCCATTGTAGTGGCATCAGCACCCAGGGGGACAGCACTGAGGAATAATGACCCTTTCCACTTAACAGGTAAGAACCAGAGAATACTTCCTAGAAGAGGTGACATTTGAGAGAGTTTTTGAAAGATAGCAGTTAGCTACTTCTGACAAATGGAGAAGTTTCCCAAGCAGACAGATAGACAGAAAAAAAACAATGCCTGATGGCTGGGTGGGACAGTTCCCAGTAAGATAAGTCTGACTGGGGAATTGAAAAACATTCACATACACACACACACCAACCTTAGCCTGGGCCTTCTGTTTGCTCTCAGTGCTGACAATATTAGCTAACATTCAATACTGTCTCACTACCTACCTGGTACTGTGCTGCTATATTAACTCACTAAATCCTGGTGACCTAGGAATGAAGTACTATAATTACCACCATTTCATAGATAAGAAAACTGAGGTCATCCAGCTCGGGAGAGGTGAGCCTAAAATTCTCACATAAGTTACCTGTTTCTAGAGCCCTTTTACAATATCTAAATAGTCTTTAAAGATAACAATATATACACGATCACATAGGATTATTGCTAAGTTTGGAGGAAGTTTATCCTTCCATCTCTGTATGTGTGTGTGTGTGTGTGTGTGTGTGTGTGTGTGTGTGTGTACCTGTATCCTTTCAATTTGAGTCAGCTCTTCCATCCCCCACACAAACCTCCTCCCTTCCCATAGGCAATGCCAACAACCTCATTTTGCCCTTCTCAGCAAAGAGCTCGTCAGACAGCAGAGACTCTGCCAAACGCTCAGCTCTGATTTTGCAGAAGCAGGAATTAGAGTGGGGTAGGTTTTGATGGAAAATGTTCTTTCCTTTGAGCCCTTAGCTCACTGGTTTTGGGGAGCAACTCCCAGTTATTGGGCTTTGTGAAGATACTCCTGGTTCTCTGGGCAGCCCCAGGGACTCCAGCGTGCAACTTTGGCAGGTCCCGCCCCCCTGGAGCACCTGGTATGCAGGCAGCTTCTGCAGAGGGCTCAACCATGCTCTGCTGGCTGGAAACATGTCATAGGATTTTTTTTTTTTACTGAATATTTGAATAAATGGTCATTTTCTCCACCCTGATCCAGCTGCTGCAGAAAGACCTTCAGGCTCTTACAGAATTGCCAAGGAACTCCCACGAGTGTGTGTCTTCTTGTGGGAGAACCGGTGTTTCTACTCACTTTGCTGATGCTCCAAAATAGATTGTTTTCATGACACTTTAACTGCTTTTTAAGCCTATTGAGATTTGGTGAATGTCAGAGCTAGAAGACAGTGCAGGCAGATAACAGGCAAAGAACTTGTGGGGCCAGGAGGAATCAGCCTGCCAGTGAAGCTGGCTTCTAGAGCAAGAGCCTCTCGAAGCCCTGAGGGTTTGAACTGGAGCTTGCTAAGAGGACAGGACAGAGAGGTTTCATATACAGAGCAGTAATTAGTACAGTGCCATCTTATAGGCATCATACTAATTGCTTTCCAGTTATCATCTCATTTAGTCCTGTAGACAACACTATGAAACAGGTACTGACTGCTGATCCTCTGTCTTGCAGGTGAAGAATCGAAATACTAGATTGGGCAACTTGTCACTGAGTTAAAAAGTAATGGAGCAGAGATGTCACCCCAGCCTACCCCAGAGCTTATAACATACTTCCTACATAGTCATCACTCTGGGGACAGATTCAGAAGTCCCAGCCCCCACTACCCCAAGGGAATAGCTGTCGATCTTATTCCTTTGGTATCCAATACCCCTTCTTGTGGTAACAGCACCTTAGTTTCCTTTAGGAGACCCACTTGTCCCTGACCTTTGGGTCCCAAAGGTTTGTATGCCTGGCATGAACTCTGGATGTGATAATGACCGTATGGCTCTGGTCTGGCTTATGAGACCATCAGGTCTACTTAGCCAAAGTGATTGGTTGATTCAGGAGTGGGCCCAGGGCCTGCAGTGCTAGGGTATTGGCCTGGCTCAAGGTGCACAGGACACAGCAGGGAACTGCTCATTTCAGCAAAGAATCGTAAGCGCTGTGCCCACCCACAGCTGTCAGTCATTGGTGTTTATTTGAAGGCCAAGTAGGAGGGCCCACTACTTCATGTGGACTGTGTGCTGAGATTTAACAGCATACTTCTTAGAAATATTATTTCTAATAGCAAGCAGAAAATTTAGAATATTCTTTTGTGGGTATAAAAAAATGGATAAACATTATCCTGGTTTGAGCAATCCTGGCATTAGTTCACCAAAAGAAAAACTTGATGCCTTACTTCACTCAGCAAGCAGTGCTTATTTTTAAAAGTCTGACATTTGTTCTCCATTCTGAGCCAGAAGAAGCCATGCCTGGATCCCCTAAGAGCAAGGAGGAACTGTCAGGCCGAGCCCTCAGCAAACACTTTTCCAACCCCAGTTGATTCAAGTTGTCACTCGATGACTTGGCCCCTCCAGTGATGCATTAGTGTTGAGACGCTACACCCTGGAATTCTCACGAAGGACCCCCTAGTCAGTTGTAACAAGGAATGACAATACATTACATGTAACCACGTAACCGCAAGATGGGATTGGGTGGTGGAGAGTGCTCCTCAGCACAGAAAGATGTTCCCACACCCCTGAGCCGCACCCAAACCTGTTCAGCCATCCCACAAATCTGAAGCTGAGAAACTCCAGGGCACCCAGTTCAGACCACCTTTGCTTAGGTGGGGCAACAAGTTGGAGGCCCTGGAAGAGG